TGTCTAGGTTCACCAATGTTGCTGCTAGTGACAGGATTTTCTACTTCTTTAAAGTTGAATAGTATTCTGTTAAATACAAAGAATACAATTTTTATCCATTTATCTGTAGGAAGACACTTAAGTTGATTCTCTACCTTGGACAATGTGAACAATGCTGCAAATAACATGAGCAAAAGATAACTCCTTGGCATATTTATCCTATTGCTTTTGGATATATACCAACAATGGGGTTACTGCATAATAAATTGTATTAATTGTTTCAAGATTCTCACAGTGTTTTCTATAATGGCTATACTAACCTACATTCTCACCAATGGAGTGGACGTATTTCTTTTTCTATACACCTTTGCCAATACTTGTTGCTGGCAATATTGTGATTAATTTGCATTTTGCTGATAATCTGTGATACTGAACATCTTTTCACATATTTACTAGCTATTTGTATCTTCTTTGGATAAAATGTATATTCAGGTCTTCAAAGAATTTTAACTACTCATGTTTAATGATTCATTTCTCAGTGCTAGGAATCCAGGGGTTCAGAACACACTTTCTGAGTTCTTTGAGTTTGTTATATATTATGGATATTAATTTATCAGATGTATAATATACAAATATTTTCTCCTGTTTTGTGGGCTCTTAATTCTGCAGTTTGAAATAGTATGTAAGAAAGCCTTGGGATTGTACTTTGGCTTTACTTTGAATATGAACCAAACATGTGGTGTGGGAAATTTAACAGTTAGCAGAATCTTAAGTTATGAATACTACAGGCTTTAGACTTTTGGAGTCACTTTACAGAGTCTCAAACACTAGATTCCAAGAGGAACAGTAACAGATCAGTGATCCCCAGGAAGAGTAACAGTGTTGTAGTAGTTCAGAAGACTGAAGGGACTATAGACAGCTATCTACCCAGGAGTGACAAGAGGAGAACCTGAGAGAAGCATTTGATAATAGTAATAGTTATTAAGCTCACATTTGAAAATTTAGCAGAAAAAAGTCAAAGCACTGAGATTTGTTGGCTTGGTATACATAAAACTTTTTTTAATTTTTAAAATTATATTGTGTGTGTGTGTGTGTGTGTGTGTGTGTGTGTGTGTATGTCACAGCACGGGTGTAGAGGACACAAGACAATTTCTGGAAGCAGATTCTCTCCTTTTATCATGTGGGTCACAGAAATCAATTTGTGAAATCGTGCTGGGTTGCAAACACCTTTGCCTCCTGTACCATCATAAACAAGAATTTTCTAACTACCTAAACTATTCAAAACTTTGATGAACTGCCTTACTGGTACCAGAGATCAGATGTGCTCAAACTAAAGGCTGTAAATCCACCAATTAGAAATACTACTGAGTGGGCTGGGTGTGGTGGTGTACACCTTTAATCCCAACACTTGGGAGGCAGAAGCTGACTGAACTTTGTGAGTTGAGAGTTCAGCTTGATCAATCTTGAGAGTCTAGCTTGATCAATAAAGTAAGTGCCAGAACAGCAGGAGTACACAGAAAGTTCCTGTCTCAAATTAAAAAGAAAGAAAGAAATACTACTGAGTGCATTTCTTCATTAGACTACAACAGAATGCTACTTCTCATCGTATGATCCCTTGTCCTGGGAAACACACAGTGAGGATGCAGTTATTGCTGAGATGGCTAAAAGCTTGACTTGAGCAGAACACTTATTTGCATAGCTTCTGTAGTGGCTTTTATTCAAAGACACAAAGTCAGATGGGGAAGTGTCTTACTATAAGGCTCAGGTTGGCCTCAACCTCATAGTCTCTTCAGCCTCTACAAAGCTGTGATTACAGATAGAGGTATTGTGTTTAACTTATACTTTAAAATGACTAGAAGTTTCAGTGGTACAGAACTGAAGAAACAGAACTCATGGCTTACTATTTTTAATATTCTGTGATGAATTCTTCTTTTTCAACTATAGTCTAGAAAAAAACCATTGAATCAAGGGATTAGTGCAAATAATATTCATGACAGGTTTTTAAATCCTCCTTTTATCCAATTTTGAGACTTTTAAAAATGAATTAAAACTAAATAATTTTGTCAGCTCTTCAGTTTACCTGTGGCAGTACAGCCTACACTATCTCTGAGGAAGATATTTATCTTTCTCTGGAGAAAATTTAATGTATAAGTCAAATGTTATTTTGGAAACAAGTAGTAGCTTGAGTAAAACTTATAACCTTTTTATTTGTACTTACATAAAACATTAGTTTTAAATAAAATAAAATTTTAAATAAATATTTAGTATACAGCAAAATACATAACCTCCAAAATACAATTTATTATATAGTATTATTAAAAATAGGAAAACATGAAATTTCTAGGCACTTGAGACTTTCAACTATTTTTTTCTCAAAAATCATCTCATGATCCATATCTATTAACAACCACAGCAACCACAATAGTTGATTTATATAAACTCTTTTAAAAGCATGCTTTGAATTATTGATCTCATTCAACTTAAACCTGCAATACCTTATTATGTCCATGGAATTTTTGTTCTTGAGCTTTGTGGCACTGGAGACTGGAGCTAGAACCCTGTACCTGCTTGTACAGCACCCTACCACTGAGCTATTTCCTCAACTTTATATTAGCTTCCTTACTTACACCACTAAAATTTATATTGGCAAATTAACTCAATTTTATAGTTTCATTATAGATTTCTCAGAAATAACAGAAACATTTAATTTTCTGCAATGAGTTCTGAATCTATATTTTACTGAGGCACACCTTAGAAGATGTCTATTGGTTGTATAAAAGGAGTCCATTTATACTAGAGAGTCTGCCCAGGTACTCAACATGGAATCTCAAGATACCCTTATATTTTTCTACTAATAGTTTTTGTTTTGTTTGTTTGGTTGGTTTTGGTTTTGGTTTTTTTAAACAAGGTTTCTCTATGTAGCCTAGCTGTCATGGAACTCCAGACCGGGGTGATCTCAAACTCACAGAGCTCTGCCTGCCTCTGCCTCCTGAGGGCTGAGAATAAAGGTGTGCGCCACCACTGCCTGGCTCTACTGACCATTTTGTTTGAAATGTATTTTGTGAGATAATTATATTATAAATGGTAACCAGGGAAACTTCCATAAGATAAAGTGTGTGTGAATATTAAAATACACTATGGCATATTTTATTTCATGTGCTATTTAGTCATAAATTTTGGTAAAAATATGATTAGTACACAAGTAATAATTCTAAAAACATTGTAAAATAGATCCATATTTTTCACTTTCACAAAAAACGTAATTCGTTTTAAAATATTTTCACAAAAGAAAATTGAGGAAATACAGAAATACAAAAACGAAAAGCAATGACACTTTTTACATGTGAAACAATCCAGTTTAACAGAAAAGGTGTTGGTGGTTTTATGGGTTCCATTTTAACTACAGAATTCTAAATGAATTCTGAAGTTTTGCTCCCATGTTAATTCAATTATTTCCTCAAATGGTTTAGAAGTTAGCATAACTTTCTGTCAATGTTAAAAAGTATAGAACATAATTAACTTCCAGACTTCACTTGAAAGTTCTTGTAAACTATCAAAGCAAATTGCTATTACAAACTTAAAACTATATCATTCAGCCTATTTTTAAAAAGTAAAAACTAAAGCAAAGACATTTAGTAACCAAGTTTTCTTTTGAGACTAGATAATGGAATTGATGTAATGAAGTTATTTGTTGTTATTAAGACTTATAATACTTAATTATACTTAAGATATATCTGTTTTCATTAATTATACTTAAGATACTATCTGTTTTTGAGACAGGGTCTCACTATGTAGTCCTATATGGCTGGGAACTCACTATGTAGATCAGGTTGGCTTTGAACTCACAGAGATCCCCCTGCCTCTGGCTTTTGAATACTGAGATTAAAGCCAAGCATCACTACACCTGGCTTTAGATATTAGTTGTTAATTTTTAAAAATGTGAATTCTGAGACAGTGTTTCCCATAAACCCTTTAAGTTAAAAATTGACATTCTTCACAATTCCACACATATGGATTTTGATCATCTCACACCTTTACTCTCTTGTATCCTTTCCACTGAGTCCCTTCTTCTTCACTCTCCTCCTTTGCTTTGTTTTGTGTGTGATCTGCTGCATTTAACTAGGGTTGCTTGAATACGCATGGGCATGGATAGAGGTTATTTACTTGAGCAAGGGCAGTTACCGCTAACTCCACTGCTGCCCTTCACATTTTAAGAGATTCATATTTATGATATAAATATGCTTACTGATTAAAAAACAAAGTCAAAGTCATACCTTTATTGTAAGGTACTTATTGCTAAAGTTTTCAACTGTATTTAATTTAAGGAAGTATACAGATAATCAACATGCCAATTTAATGCTTAAAACCGGTAAGTAATCTTAGGGTGTGTTAACACTTAAGCTTTTGAATGTAGTACTTTGGGAAACGAGCTTTGTTCTTGTATATGGCAATGGATAAATTCAAGCTTTAATTTCTTTAGACTTATTATTTTACCTTATGTATATGAATGTTTTTGCCTCCATGCATGTATATGTACCATGCTCATGCCTGTTGGAATGCCTGGAATCAGAGTTATGAATGTTTTTAAGTCACCATACGAGTGCTGGGAATCAAAACCAGTTCCTCAGTAAGAACAAGAAGTGTCCTTAATTGCAGAGCAAACTCTCCATCCCCACACTTTTGCTTTGTTTTTAGACAGGACTACCATGCATCCCTGCTTGGCCTGGAACTCCCTGTATAGACTAGGCTGATTTTAAATTCACAGACATAAGCATCTGAGATTAGAGACACATGACACTGCATCCATACTCACCATTAGTAATGTATCCTAGAAATGAGCATTAAATATTAAAAAGATTCTTTTTGAATGACACAGACCCAAAGATCAGATATTACAAAGTCAGATTTTTGGTTTTTTTAAGTGTAGCATGATAGCTACCTAATCCACAACACACCATAATATTTCTAAAAGTTTATCTTCTCATTTTCTGGGAAGGATATTAATATATCAATGCTATTACCTTTTAGCCGGTGACTTAGAATTTGTTCCAGAACAGCTGCAAAATTATTAAATTCAGGAGAAGAATCATCAATTGTTTCAAAGCAAGAACGATCAATCAGGGTCTTCACAGAAAATCTATGGAAAATAAGATGATTGTTTGTTTTAGAGAGAGTAAATCCATTCACTTAAGTATGAAAAAAATGAGAAGGTATTTGGAAAAGAATCCTGAAAATTGTATTTATCCAACGTGCTCTGTAAGTTAAAAATTTTACAGAAAACAGGCTTCCACGTTACTGCTAAAGTCTGAATGCTGAATGCTCTCCAAGATCCTACACTGCTGATGAGGCCTAGGGCATTAGCATCAATGACAGCCTAGGTCTTCAAAAAGTAAGAAAGGCTCTTTTATTAGTATATTTGTAAAAGAGGCCCAAAAGAGCTTGACTACCTCTTCTGTTACAAAATGACAAAAAAGGCACCAAACAGAAGAATGGGCCCTATAGAGCACCAAGTCTCCTGGCACCTGGACAGTGGTGTCTCCAAAGCTGTGAACAATGAATTGTTTTATTTTTTAAAAATTACTCAGTGTGAGGGTAGTCTCTCAGGGAATGCTGAAATGGCTAAGATACCTTTTGCTTAAAGTAAGACTTTAGGGTAGTTTTCTGTCCTTGCATTACAGCTATTAAAATCAGAATCAAAATATGAAACAATTATAATTTAGTAATTCTTAATACTATAAAAACTTCTGAGTCAGGAGGTGGTGACTTATGCCTTTAATCCCAGCACTCAAGAGACAGAGACAGGCAGATTTCTGTGAGTTTGAGGCCAACCTGGTCTACAAAGTGAGTTCCAGGACAGCCAGGGCTACACAGAGAAACCTAGTCTCCAAAACAAAAAACAAAATGCTGACTTATAAATATTAGAATAAATTAAGTGTATCTACATAATTACTCTGTTTTACTTTCAGTATAGTATTCAATAAATTACATTAAATAATTTTTTCATTACAATCATTTATTTACTTAACTTGTGTCTGTGTATCTCTGGTTATATATGTTCATACAGGTAACACAGAGGATGACTTGAATGAGTCAGTTTTCTCATTCTACCATGAGGGTCCTGCGAATTAACTCAGGTTAATTAATTAACTAATTAATTAATTAATTGGAAGTTAGTGCCTATATCCTTCACTAAGCCATTTCATGGGTTTAAGTATTTAATACTTTATTATAAAACAGACATGTTAGATGGTTTTGTCTAACTGTCGATGAACAGAAATGTTCTGAGCAGTTCTGAAGAGTATCTTTATTGTCTAGGTACATGTGGTGGTTTGAATGCAATATACCCTAGTTTCAGGTATGTGAATAACTGGTCTCCAGTTGGTAGGGTTGTTTGAAAATTTTAAGAAGTGTATCCTTGTTGGAGGAAATATGCTACTGGAGGTGGCCTTTGAGAATTTAAAGACTCACACCAATTCAAGCTCTGAGCTCCCTGCAATTTGCAGTTTCTTAGCTTCCAGCTTGCCATGCCTCCACACAGCCATTATGGACTCAACCCTATGGAACCATAGGTACCAATAAACTTGTTCTTTTATAAGTTACCCCAGTCACGGTGTTTTAACATAACAACAGAAAAGTAACCAATGCAAATGAATTTTTAATTTACAATGGCCATGAATTTGAAAAATAACAAGGAATGGTATATGGGAGTGTTTGCAGAGAAGAAAGGGAAGGGGGAAATTCAGTAATTATATTATAATCTCAAAAAAATAAAATCATTAACAGAAAATGCCACTTACATTTTCATATTTAAAAAATTAAACAGAAAAATTTTCAGCAAAAGTAGTCCTCAGCATAGCTGAGATAGAAATCTGCAAAAATGACTGTGGGTCAACTTGACACATGATAGACTCATTTTGGAAGAGGGAGCCTCAATTGAGAAGATGCTCCTTACCAGACTGGACTGTGGGAAAAGCCCGTGAAGTCTTTACTTAATCAGTGATTGATGTGAGAGCAAAATACACTGTGGGTGACACCACGACTGGACTTGTGGTCCTGGGTGTTTTAAGAAAGCAGGCTGAGCAAGCCATACGGAGCAAGCCAGTAAGCAGCACTCCTTGGCCTGTCCATCAGCTCCTGCTTTCCAGGTTCCCACTTTGTTTGTGTTTCTGTCCTGACTTAAATTATGGACTGTGATGTGGAACTGTCAGCTGAGGTAACTCCCCAAGTTGTTTTGGTCATGCTGTTTTCTCATAACCCTAACTAAGAAAAAGCAGAAACCACACGAAATCATCTTAGTAGAAAAAATTACATTTTCCTTAATCTTTATAATTTTTTGTCAAGTTATTTAAAAAACTCTCTAGTTGACCAATTATAATATAGAAAATGAAAAAGTAGAATCACTTAGTATAGAATATTGTAACTTAAATTATTTGAAATACTGGGAATTAAAATTCTTTACTTTTTTACAAATCAAATCAAGAGCAGAATGAGTGGTGGTTCTTTGACTTCTTGTATAACCTTGACAAACTGCCATATTCCTTTCTGTATCTGAATCAACTCTCCACATTTTTTGATCAAGCTCTTTCTCTTGAATGTTATACAAATACTTCTAAACATATGCTATAGAGACTTAATGTAAAGAGTAGAATCATCTCTCCCACAAGTTACTTAGAGACTATTTTGTTCACTGTTTGGCTGCTAATCTCTTTTCTCTTCAGCAATAATGAAGTGGATTCACTTTCCATGGGCAGGGATACATGTGGTTTGTTGTGTTTGCCAATTGCAAAAGTGTCAGAAAGTGAGGTGGCAAAGCTGTCATTGGCATCTTTCGTGAGCAGCTATCAAAAAAGCTAGATCACACAATGATCACACCAGCTTTTCCCAAGTTAGTACCTCTACTCACCACAAACATCTAGCTGCAAACCAGATGACGGTCAGTTATCTTGCCGTTATTCAAACTGCTCCAATTGGTTGCAATTCCCCACCTTCTATCCCTTACTTCAATGCCATGAAACATAGGTCCAGTAAATTTAGTATGAAATAGTGGAAGATTATTTCACTAACAGGGATTATTTCACCGAGAAGCTGGATTAGAACTTACTTTGATCTTTGATAGTTGAATAAGCTTTCCCTATTACTCTCCTGGCATCAAGTACCTACATGAGCCACCTCATGAGTCACTCCCTCAGCCCAAGCCTGACACTATTAAAAAAGAATGTACAAATCAAAGATAAGAGTTTTTTTCTTCCACTATTTAATACTAAATTTACTGGATCCCATACAAGCAAAGTAACTATATTCTCCTTTGGAAAAAAATAATTTCCATCTTCAAATAACAAGAAAATGGCTGTCAGGGAATATGACAGAGGGGTTGAAGATGACTTGATGGGTAAAGTGCTTTCCACACAAGAATAGAGACCTGAGTTCAATCCCCAGTACCCATGTGAAGCCTGGGCATAGTCATACTGTATCCCAGTGCTAGGAGGCAAAGACAAGAAGACCTCTGGAGCTTGTTGGCCAGACGGTCTAACCAAACTGTTAATCACCAGGTTCAATGCAGAGCAATAGAAGAGACCCTTGACTTAACCCTCTGGTCTCCACATGCACATGCACGTCTGTGTACTGTATCCCTACACTCATGTGCACATACAACAGTGATAAGACACAAATATAATAAGAAACACTAGCATGATCCTGGAGATATCTGTTCAAATAGATAGTTTGTCTTTTCTATATTTAATACCAGACATTTTTTAAGAAGTCAAAAATTTGTTTTCCTTTTCAAGCAATAATGTAAGAATTCTCAGCCATTGTGTACTTATATTTTAATCTACCAAAAATATTGTGATGAGAAAAATGCTTCCATGTATCCTTTAAGCAGAAATACACAAACTATAATGCACATGTTAAATTCAACCATTTGCCTATTTCTGATTTTTAAAGATTTATTTTTAGTTTATGTATATGAATGTTTTGCCTTCATATATGGATATACAGTGCACATGCCCCTAGTACTTGAGAAGGCCAGAAGAGGACACCTTAGAACTGGAGTTACAGACACGTTAGCCATCATGTGGGTGCTGGAACTTAAACCCCTCTCTTCTCCAATAGCAACAACACTCTTTTTTAATTTTTTTTAAAATTTAAATTAGAAACAAGATTGTTTTACATGTCAATCCCCATTCCCTCTCCCTCCTCTCCTCCCCTGCTCCCCCCACTAACACCCTACCTATCCAATATAATTTCTGCTCCCAAGGGAGAGTGAGTCCTTCCATGGGGGCATTCCGAGTCTGTCATATCCTTTGCAAAAGGGCCTAGGCCCTCCCCAATGTGTCTAGGCTGAGGGAGTATCCCTCTATGTGGAATGGACTCCCAAAGTCTATTCCTATGCTAGGGATAAGTACTGATCTACTACAAGGGGCCCCATAGATTTCTGAAGCCTCCTCACTGACACCCACATTCATGGGGTCTGGATCAGTTCCATGCTGGTTTCCCAGCTAGAGCTCCCCCTTGTTCAAGTCAGCTGTTTCTGTGGGTTTCACCAGCGTGGCCTTGGCCCTTTTGCTCATCACTCCTCCTTCTCTGCAACTAAGTTGGATTCCAGTTCAGTTCAGTTTTTAGCGGGTATCTGCTTCTACTTCCATCAGCTGCTGAATGAAGGCTCTAGGATGGTATGTAAGGTTAGTCGTCAATCTTGTTATCAGGGGAGGGCATTTAAGGTACTCTTTCCACTGTTGCTTGAATAGTTAGTTGGTGTCATCCTTGTAGATCTCTGGACATTTCCCTAGTGCCTGATTTTGATTTAAAACTATACTGGTTCCCTCTTTGATGGTATCTCTTATTTAAGCATCAACACTCTTAACAACTGAGCCATCTCTCCAGCCTTCTGCCTCTGGTTTTTAAATAGCTTTTATTATAACACATAAATATTCTGACCATCTTTCCTCACATTGACATTTAGAATATTGTATTTCTCATCCTGGTTGCTGAAATTCTCATAAAGGTTCTGAATTGTCTTCTTTAGTCATCTGATTATGTAAATCTTTTGTTACTTGATTATTATACATGAGACTTTTGAGTTGTCAGGTTTTCATTTCTATGTATTTGGACTCAATTATTGAAGTGTTATGACCTATTAGAGTATTCGTGGTGCCTTCTGTTTTTATATTTCTTGTTTCTATGTGTCTATTTGGAAAGGTTTCTCTTCTGTGGTTCTGCTTAATGAGTATTCTTTTTTGAGACCTCAATTCTTAGTACCACTCAAAGTGAAGAAAACACACTACCAGTAACAGTCCTATACCTTCAAAGTGAACTCCGAATTGGAATACAATAAAACCTATACCACATGACCAACAACAACTAAAGAGACCATGAATTCCAGAGAGAGCAAAGATGAGGGAGGTTGGAGAAAGGAAAGGGAAGAGGGAAATGATGTAATTATAATTTCAAAAATAAAAATTTATCATTAAAAAGATCTGGTTAGGTAACTGGAGATATGGCTAAATAGGTAAGATCACTTATAGCTCAAGTATGAGAGCCTGAGCTTGGATACCAACACCTACATTAAAAGCTGGGCCTATGAAAGACAGAGACAGGAGTCTGGGGCTTGCTGGTAGCCAGTCAAATTCCAGGTTCAGTAGGACACCCTGTCACAAGGGAGTAAAGTAAAGAATGGTAGAGCAGAACATCTGCCATCTTTCTCTGCCCTCCGAGTGTACCTGACACATACACTACACACACACACACACACACACACACACACACACACACACACACCACTCACACAATCTTTTTTATAAATTATTTTTTTAAGATTTATTTATTTATTATGTATACATCATTTTGCTTCCATGTATATCTGCACACCAGAAGAGGGCACCAGATCTCATAAGGGATGGTTGAGAGCCACCATGTGGTTGCTGGGAATTGAACTCAGGACCTCTGGAAGAGCAGTCGGTGCTCTTAACCTCTGAACCATCTCTCCAGCCCCTCACTCACACAATCTTTAAATTTATTATAGCCACTATGATACCAATAACCACAGAACAGTAAGAAAAGAATTTATACTATGAAGTTAAAAGTGGGAACTCATGGACCCCAGTCTGACAGCTGGGGAACCAACATAGGACCAAACTAGGCCCCCTGTACGTGGGTGTCAGTTAGGAGCACTGGGAAGTCTATGGGGCCTCTGGCAGTGGAACCAGGATGTATCCCTAGTACACGAACGGACTTTTGGTGCCCATTTCTCATGGTGGGATACTCTTAACCTAGATACACAGGGGAGGGCCTAGGCTCTGCTCCAAATGACTTGACAGATTTTTTGGTGATCCCTCATGGAAGTCCTCACCCTCCCTGGGGAGTAGATGGGGGGGGTGGTCGGTAGAGGGCATGGAAAGATGGGAGGGAGAGGGAACTTGGATTGATATTGATATGTAAAATAAAATTGTTTCTACTTTAAATAAAATTTATAAAATAACAAAATGTGCAGGGCAGTGGTGTCGCATGCCTATAATCCCAGCACTCAGGAGGCAGAGGCAGGCGGATCTCTGTGAGTTCGAGACTAGTCTGATCTACAAAAGCTAGTTCCAGGACAGCCTCCAAAGCCACAGAGAAACCCTGTCTCAAAAACCAAAAAATAAAAAATAAAAATATGATAAAATGCATAAAACATGGAATGGAAAAAAGTTAATAAATGTACAAGTATTAATAATAAAAGAATGAAGTCAAGGAAGAGTTATGAAAAGGAAAAAAGCATTAAATTAAAGAAAAGAAAAAAGAAAAGGAAAAGAATGAGGACAAGGAGCAAGAAATCAAAAAATAAAGAAAAAGTACATAAATTAAAGACTATTATGCATAAACTACTTTCAAACCTTTTGAAATTTTACGTATGAGTGTTTTGCCTGTACACATGCATGTGTGTCACATGCACGCCAGGTGCCCACAGAGGCCAGAGCGCGCTGTATCCCTGGCACTGGAGGTGCCTGCAGTTGTGAACTGTCATGTGGCTGCTGAAACTGAACCTAGATCCTCGGCAAGAGCAGTAAATCCCCTTAACCACTGAGCCGTCTTCCAGCTCCCATGAAAATATTTTTAAAAGATGGTATTAAAGTTTAACATATTTGAGCTGCTTCTTGTCTAATAGCAAAATTCATCTGATGGGGAGTTATAATTGGAATCGACTGCATTATCTCTCTGTGGCTCTGTGGTGGTTTGAATAGGAATAACCCCATAGGTTCACAGTTTTGAATGCCCCATGGACAAAGAGTGGGACTATTAGGAGGTGTGGCCTTGTTGGCATAGGTATGGCCTTGTTGAAACAAAGTGTATTACTGTGGGTAGGCTGTGAGGTTTCAAAGCCCAACCCTGTCCCAGCAGGTCCCAGCAGTCACTGTCCTCGTGCTACTTGCCACAAGCAGAACTCTCAGCTCCTTCTCCAGCACCATGTCTGCTTCCATGCCGTCACTCTTCCCACTGTGATGATAATGGACTAAACCTCTGAACCTATAAGCCAGCCCCAACTAAATTTTTTCCTTTATAAGAGTTGCCATGGTCATGGTGTCTCTTCTCAGCAAAACAAGACAGAAGTTGGTACCAGGGACTTGAGTATGGCACATGCTGTGACACGCATGACCATCTTGCCTGTAGGCAGAATGTGGACTTGGGGACTAAGAAAGCAACTTTAAGCAGGGCTTAATGGGACATACTAGTAGAAGCAGGAAGACAGTGGTATTGAGAACAATGTGGATTCTGATGGCTCAGCTCAAGAAGTTTTAGAGAGGAAAAATATTAATAAATGGCCTACAGACAGTTCTTGTGATATTTTCGTGAAGAATGTGGCTACTTTTTGCTCTTTCAAAAAAAAAAACTGCTTGAGGCTAAACTGGAGTTTTAGATTAATGGCAGTGGGAGAGAAGATTTCAAGACAATCTAGTATTGACTCTACCATGTGGCTATTAATGGTTACTCTTATGCGGAGGTAAAATGAAAAGGAACAAGCCAAACAAGGAAAATTACAAAATGTAGTTGGATGAGAAAATGAACACCAGGAAGAAAAGGAGCTAAGCCCAGTGCTCAAGGAGACACGAAGTTTAAAAAAAAAACTGACACTAAATGAAATAAAGTGAGTGGTGACCTAAGGTCAAGAGCTCTCCCAAATAAAGAATTAAAGAAAACTTTAGGAGTGGATGTAGTGGCACAGGCTTTAATACCAGCACTCAGATAGAAGCAGAAGCAGGTGGATCTGAGTTTAAGGTCAGCCTGGTCTACAGATCAAGTTTCAGGACAGCCAAGCTTACACAGCAAAGGAAACCCTCAAAACCAGGAAACTGGTGAAAATATATTTTGAACGAAGGGGCTATGTTCCAGCCCCAGCAAGCAGCAGAATTTCAGAGCTTTGGCCACATAGTTCTGGCTTTAGAGTCAAGGAGACAAGAAAGGGGTTACAGAATCCCCCTCCAAGAGGACTAAGAAATACCTCCAGGTATGTGTCAGGGATGCTCCTGAATGGAGGCTCAGAAGACGCCTATGTGTGAAACTGTGAAGATGAAATCTGGATTGCCTTAAAAACCCCAAGATGTTGGAGATGCCAGAGTCATAGGATACCTGCCAAGGAGAGTTCCTAGTAAGAAGTGGAACCATCCCAAGAGAAAACAGTGTGTTGCAGTAAACAAAGCTGAAAGGAGGTAGCGATCTGAAGAACATTCTGACATCAGACATGGAGATGCAGAGTTTGGCGTTGTCCCAGCTGTCTTTCAGTCTTGCTTTGGTCCAGTATTCCCCTATTTCCTCGCTATGCTGCTTTTCCTCCCTTTTGGAATGGTAATATATATCCTGGGCATTATATGTTGGATGTATATGATCTGCTTTTTCATTTTGATTTTGCAGGGGGTTACAGTTAAGAGCCTGCGTTGAGTCTCAGAAGAGACTTTGGATTTTAAACAGTGTTGAGACTGTGGTAGATTAAGGAGACTTTTGAAGTTGGACTGAATGCAGTTTTACATTGTGATATGGCTACAAGCCTGTGGGGGCCAGAGAGTAAACTATGGTGTTTTGAATAGGAATGGCCCACAGAGGCACATAGATCTCAATGTTTGATCATCAGCAAGTGGCACTGTTAGGAAGTGTGGTCTTGTTGGAGTAGGTGTGGCCTTACTGGAGGAAGTATGTCACTGAATTGGGTGGTAAGGTTTAAAAAGCTCAAGCCAGTCTCATTAGTTTCCCTCTTCCTGCTGCCTGTGGATCTAGCTGTAGAACTCGGCACGATGTCTGCCTATGTGCCACCATGCTTCCGGTCATGAGCATAATGGACTAAACCTCTGAATCTGTAAGCCAGCCCAAAATAAATGTTTTCCTTTATCAGAGTTGCCATGGTCATTCATGGTGTCTCTTCACAGCAACAGAACAATGACTAACAAAGGCCACCACACTAGGGAGTAAAGTATGCACATGAAGTGCTAGGTGTAACAGTAAAGGTATACTGTCTGAGTCTGGGCTGCAGGCACTTCAGAAGCTTCCTTTCTGGGCATTTCAGGAGCAGCTGGTAGCTCCAAAAAGCTTTGTAGCACATGGGTCAGGCAAGTTCCCATTCATCACATAGGTGTCCCCGGTTTGCACATCCAAGGGCAGCTAATGTCCAAGAAAATAGGAATATGGGGGAAGCAAACGGGTCAGTGAATTCTATGCTGGGTTAGAGTACCAGCGTTAATAGGGCATTCTTTGCTAGTGTAGTTGTCTGAATAAAAATGGTCCCCATAGACTTATAGGAAGTGGTGTTATTGGAGGTGTGGCTTTGTTGGAGGAGGGTGGGCTCTGAGGTTCCAGAAGCTCAGGCGAGGCCTAGTGACTCACTGTCTCTTCCTGTTGCCTGCCAATCTGGACACAGAATTCTCAGCTACCTCTCCACTACCATGTCTACCTGTGTTTCATCATGCTTCCTGCCATGATGATAATGTGTCAAACCTCTGAACTGTAAGCCAGTACCAATTACATCCTAACTAAGACAGCTAGACTCCACCCTGCAGCTGAGAGGAAATGGGATATTGGGCAATCCACTGGACATGGGCTTAGAGCTCACAATCCTTCCTCAAAGCAAACAGGTAGCAGGGAGACAGCTTTTGGAGGTACCAATCACTGGGCACAGGCTCAGAGCTCACAATCTCCACAGTAATCTATAGCACATTGTGCTCATCTTTGATATGGAGCCACTGACCACCTCGTCCTCCAGTCTGAACTCTCTGGTACTAAAACTGGTAAGAAGCAGGTGAAGATGCTATGAGGGAGAGATCCTTGTCTAAGCCTTCCCTTTTTCTAAAACTGCCTCTTACAACAGTCTCTCAACCAAATGCTGTGGCAGGGTGTCCAAGATTGCTGACTAAGGCAGCTGACCTGGGAACTCTTCTCAGGTCCCCAGAAAAGCTCATTCTCAAAATGGTGTGATGTTATAACACTCCAAGATAGACATATCAGCGTGATACCCTTCTCTAACCCTGGCCTCCACAGGAACCACTATCACACCAACCCCACTCACTCCTCTGCACACAGACACATACCCTGGATCTAAGACTTTTGAGAACTGGGCTTATCCTGAGACCAGAATTGGCACTGTCTATTTCCCCAGAGTTGTTCTGCTTTGCCCTCCTCCCCAAGTCAGGTGAGGTTATGGAGAAATTGTCCTGTTTCCTCTATGCTTTGTAGCTGCCCCTTCACTATCTTTTATTCCCAATGCCCGTTCTCTCTTTGCCACTCAGTATCTGCTTCCCCTTTACCACACTGCCTCTGGCTCACTCAAGCTCATGCACAAGCATCTATCTAGTCTGCCATCTTACCTGAAAACTAAGAAATGCATTTTCCTCTGACATTTTGTGGGGTTTGTAAAACATATTAATAATTTAAATCGTTTTAACATTCATTCCAAAAGAATGGAAAGTGAATATATACATGGGAAAGGCAAAATAACATGTAACTAACATTCTGGTAGAAACTAAAATAGTAGACAAAAGGAACTATAGAAGTACTGGTGTTTTATTCTAAACTAGTCTGATATGTGAAGGTAAAGGTTGTGGGCATCATGTTTAATCTTTTTAGGCAAAAAAGAAAGAAAGAAAAAGAAAAAAGCATTTGACAACATAGTACTCAGTAACCACTTAAGATGAAAAAATTCCCAGGAATCTAGAAATAGTAGTATGAGAGGGATAAGAGAGGTTAATGTGAGTATGCAGAATGACCAAAATACATTATACACATATTAAAATTGTAAAGTTTTTTAAACACCAAGAATTTTTTTCTTGGAAACTGATAAGTAGATCACAATTTAGCTGGCAAAGGGCTAATGGTAGGATGATCTTCAAATACAAAGCTACAAAACTTGATTATCACACAATAAGATATATTATAAAGCAACAGTTATTACAGAAACAGTATGATATTATTTCAGGGACAAACAGACTAATGAAATGATAGAAAGACCTCAGAAACAAAGGTAGAAAAGTCCTGTGGCCTAACTGAAGACAAAAGTAACACTTGAAAGTATTAAACAAAATATGATCTTTTCAGTAAGTGGTACTTATGTCAACTGATATTTTTTTTAAAAGAACAATATTTTATCCTGGTCCCTGTGGCATGAATTCTAATTGTCCTTAGTAACAAAAACTCAAGAGACAGATATTGGGGTTAAAGCTAAAGATCAGAGAAGCAAAACAGTTGGCTACTAGAGAGTTCTGACCTCTAGCACCATTCAGACCAAAGGGGCGATCCTGTCCTCAGACTCTATCTTCAGACTACGCTGCTCTCCACCAAACCTCAGACTGCACTGAGCTCCTGTCTCTTTCTGCCTTAAAGTCCTCTTTAGTGCTGGGATTAAGGCCTGGAGATCCCAAGTGCTGAGATCACCTATGTGTGATCTCTGTTTCTCTTTTAGACTGGATCAATTTCATGAAGCTCAGGGTGGCCTTGAATTAACAGACTCGTCTACCTCTGTCTCCTGAGCACTGGGTCTAAAGGTGTGTACCACCACTCCCTGGCCTCTACGTCTAACTAGTGTGGCTAGATTTGCACTCCGATTTTCAGGAAATCTGTATTTATTGGATCATAAACAAAATATCTCCACAGGTCTCCACACTTAATACCACAAATACAAATAATCTACAAATGGATTGTTGATATAAATGCCTAAAGCAAACTGGCAGAGCTTTAGAAGAGTGTGCCATCAAGAAAATGCTCTGTGATTGCTTAACTCTCAATCAACACTGAAATCATCAGTGCATAACTGGATAAGAGCCATAGAACCATATGGAACAATTTCATATTCTGCATACTCAGAAGCTCTATGAAGATATGGACTGACCCCAAAATGTTGATCAATGTTCTACTATACATACCATGATTAAAATAACCTTTGATATTCATCATACCAAGGTATGACCACTCTTACAAGGTATACTCAAGCAAGTAGTAACAA